AGTTTTACTAATTTCTATATGTAAATAAAAGATATAATGATTGTGCAAATTTATATTCCCAGTGTCTTCCTGTAGTCTAAAAGGCTGCATTCTTTATATTGAACATTTTTTTTAAGATCTTACAATTTTAAGGCCCCTTGTCATCTTTTTTCAAATGTTCATGCTCATCACTGTGACTTCCTCCAGTGGCTTGAAGGCAGCACTGGGATTCAGTGACTCCATGTCGATGCTCTTCACGCTTGTAAGGACTGAAAGGCTTAATCCTCTGACAGCCTCATGCAGGAAACAGTAGCCCCTTTTCACAGGTGGGGAAGCTGAGGAGAGGAGGAGGAGCTTGTCTCTAGTGGGTAGCGGAGGAGGCAGCCGGCCCCGGGACCACGCTCCCTGCCAGCCTCTGCTGCTTTGTCTGGTAAGTCTGCAGGGCGAGTGCCCGCGTGTGGGGGGTGATGGGGCTAGTCACTGCTTCGTCTGCTTCTGACCAGTCCTTAAAACAGAGGCTCGACAGTTTAAGGTTACGCCAGCTTTGACAGGTGAAACTGCCTGGGTCAGAGGAAGGAGGCGTGACCTCCTCCCTCCCTCCCCAACCACGGTGGGAGGCGAGGAGCAGACCAGCAGGACGAGAGCCCAGCAGCTTGCCAGGCCCCTCCTGGTAGGTTGGACAGTGTTCTGGCTGTTAGGAAAGTTGCTCCTCTAGAGAGGATGGAGTGTCACCCCAGCATGTCCCCCAGAGGAGACCTGAGGCCAGGGGCACTGATGCTCCATGCCCTCTCCCAGCAGGGGGCCCTGGGCCATGCCCGCTGTGCTTCACCCTTTGTCCACAGTCCCAGGGCTGACTGCTGTCCACGTGAGTCCCCCTTTTGCGGTCATTGCCTGCCCAAAGGACAGAAGAGACGGCGAGGTGCAGGCAGAGACTGCAGGCAGACTCCGCCCTGCAGCTCCATTCTCTTGAGGTTCCCTCTCATAAACCTCACAGGTTTCTTAAGCGATACAAGTGCTAGGACATAGCAAACTAGACCTCTCCTGAGTCAGTTACAAAAGAAGGCGGCGGCATGGCGGCATGGCTAAGGGAGTAAGCGGAAGTTCTTATGGCTTCTTGGAACAATCTGGCACTTAACGGGTTAGGTTACAAAGTTGAAGGTTAAATAGGTTATGAAAAGTAACAGGTAATGGTTCCCACACTTTTTTAGTGTATCTTTTTCAAACGTTCTTGCGTATAAACCAGGCTGAAAGCAGAAGTGCCACCCAGGGCCCCCTCTTCTCTCCCTCCCCCCCCCCAAGGGCCCCGGGGCCTCTGGAACCCTCTAACTGGAGTTGCGCTCACAGCTTGCTTTTCCTCGCAACAGTGTATCTGCCTCCGAGACACGTGCTGCAAAGAAACACCAAGGAGCCACTTTCAGAACCTGGATTTGCATCCTGTCCAGTAAGGGAAGTATCTTAATGAGGTTTTGCTGGTGTCTCTTGAAGTCCTCCAGGATCGAGAGTGCCCTTGGGTAAGTCAGAGCCTGTTCTGAACAGTGAGCAGAGGTGGGCTGAGGGCCGCGCGCCCCGCGTCCTCCGAGTCCATACCTTGGACCTGCCCCCTCACGTTAGGTGAATGTCCTGTTTAATGGGTGTGGAAAGAAAGGGCAGCTCAAGATTTTTTGCCTTTATTCCCCAAACCATATCCTAGCCTAACAAGGATGGTCAGGAGCCTCCAAAGGTGAGCCAGAAGAATCGAGCTCCCTCACGTGCCAAAGAGCTGCATTTCTCTTCTGAGAGATGGAGAACGGCCTCTGTGAGGAATGCGTCTTTCTGGGTAACTGAAATAGTGGTCTTCTGAGGCTGCCTAGAGGCAAAGGCCCGGGAGTTCTCACAGCTCTCGGTGCCCTGAGGAGGGATCACTGACTGCAACACTCGTGAAGCCCACAGGAGGTGGTGGGTTGAAGGAAAACCACGTTCTGGGCTGTGTATCTCACTGTCGGTTCCGCAGGCTGAGACCCACTTCCTCTGGCCAAGGGAGGAGACCAAGCCTGGTGGGACCTTACTCAACAGCCTGGAGGGTGACAGGTTCTCCCGCTTGGAATCTGTTATCAAAGATCATGCCTGTGTAGACATGGACTGCTGGCCAGTCACTTCTCAGTGCCTTTGTGAGAAAGCAGCGGGGGACACTAAAATACAGGCCTAAGTAACGGGTAAGGGGGAACAGTGGATCCAGGACCAAGAGGCCCCTGGGATTTATCTGTATTGACTGAACACTGTAAGATGGCCTGCCTTCTTGCTGAACACTGGTATCTAATTTTCCTTTGAGAGAAACTTAGATTTTACCAGACCCAGAGGAAAAATCAAACATGCTGACCTATCTCTGTTTGAATTGAACCCCCCTTCTGATAAGACTTTTTTTCTTTTTTTAATCACAGCAGCTTGGCCCTCTGATGATCTCGATTTTATCTGCCCGAATGTCATCTTTGCAGTTCAGCCACGGGATGCACGTGCACAGTGGCAGACCAGACGATGACTCTGTCCTAACAGGTAAGTGGGAAACCTTTATGGAGGCGTGGTTTGCACACAGAAAGCTGTGCACGTTTGCTGTTTCAGACCGTTTCTACTACCTGGTGCTGTGCCCATCACAGGGAGTCATTTATAACAAAGCGCTCAAGGAGTGAGCAAGCACTTACTCCAGCTAATTCCAGTAAGAGCCTAAAGCTCACACAGCTTACAACAGAATACTTAGGTTATTTCAGTGTTCACATTAGGAACCCTTCTTGATGACCCATCTAGTTGAAATTACACGATGTTAGTTGACACACGACTGATTTTTGGCAGGGTTGGGGGCAGTGTTGAACACCTTGGGCAGAGGTAGAAATCCAGACTTGGAGTCTGGATACAGTGAAGGCTGGAGAGCAAATGAACCAGACAATAATGAAAAATAGGCAGTTTCTAGGTAGATGTCTTTTTTAAATAAATTAACATACTGGTTGAATTGACAAGCAGAACCACATATTTCATGGTACCTGGAAAGTTGGCCTGTGGGTGTGATGCTGCCTGTACTTGGACGTCAGGACTCTGTCACAGCTGTGGGTTGTCTCCGTGTGCTTCTTTATGACCGTTAGGAGAAAAGGCTTAGGGGCCACAGAAATTGAGCCACTGGGCGGCAACCTGCTGGCAGGGTGTCTTCATCCTCAGTGAACAATGTAATATTCCTACACCGTTTGAAAATGGTTTGAAACACAGCTGTACCCTGGTATGATATACTACTCAGTTCTGTATTTTCTCTGGTAGGGAATCAACTCCAGGCTTAGAGACACATACAGACTAAGTTATTACCTCAGTGGGTACAGGGGAAAGGAGAAAAAGCATACTTTAAAATTAGCTTTTGCCCAAACTTTGTCTTTATTAATTGGGTATTTGAATACCTTATGTGTCAAGTTCTGTGCTCCCTCCATCCCCCGATTATAAATAAAGTCTAAAGCTGACCAGATCTGATAAAAGATGCTCGGTGTCACATGGGACATACTGAATGGGTGCACATCAGGTGTTTCCTGTTGGAGAATCTGTTCATGTAGTTAGTGACTAGGGCACTAGAGAAGTACATTTCAAATCAGGGTTCAAAAAGATGGTTGTGCGTGAAAAAATACGCCAGATGGTGCTCAAAGTTCTTGCTCTCCATCAACGGAACTTTTATTTTGTTTTTATGCTGTATTTGGGTCTCTGGTATATTAAGTGAGCAGAACCTCCCTGGACTCGAGGACCCGCCTTCCAGTTCATGCCTGGGGCCAGGCTGGGAGCTGTGAATACCAGAAAGGCTGCAGCTGGAATGAGCTCGGTGTCAGTAAATACTATCAGGGCAAGCAATCACTGCGGTGTCCTAACCAGCCCACACGTGACAATGAACAGATGGGCTCCACTTGTGCTGAGGGCGAGGGTGGAACATGGCAAGCACGGCAGTGAACCTACGTGAATCAGTCAGCAACAGCCAACCAAGTGAATGGTCCCGTTTCCTGGGTGGAGAGTGGGGTCGTTAGAGACACAACACATCAGCAGCGTCAGTCAAAACCAAGCGGGGCAGAGAATCTAAGGGTAACACACAAGACGAGCATCTAAGGCCAGGACTTTCTATTGCTAAAGCACAGTGGCAAACTAACTTTGTTAGGACTCACACTGCTACGCCTTGTGTATCAATGTAACGAAACCAGAGAGTCTTGTCAGTGTCTGCATAACCAGAAGGGAAGGTAGCTTTAATTAAGTTTCATATTATAAATCAAGAAAAATTTTATCAAACTCTCAAAAAGGCAACTGCACGCCACAGACCGACTATCGCTGTTTGGAGGGCTGCCCCCAGTCGTGTCGGTCAGTGTGTGTCGGGAGGGTGCTGGAAGCCCTCACTACCGCTCGGAGAGGAAACCCCATTGTCGTGGAGGGTCGGGAGTGAGTGCCCGGCTCCCTGAAACTTGGCGAGGGCTTTCCTACCGCTTCTTCAGAAGATAGAAAACCATACTTTGGTGACATCTGTCACCTTTCGTAGATGGGTGAGGAATCTCGTTTATACCACGGTATTTCCAAAGGACTGTGTCCACACTAACGGAGTTGAGAGCTAGGTAGGGTCTTAGACATCACCTGGTCTCACTGTCACTTTGTGGAGCACAAGGCCTGGACATGAACTCTCGCGGCCACTCAGCGGACTGGACGTGCCCCACGGTGGTCTCAGGTTGCAAGTAGTGTCGCTCACTTATGGACATCATCTACTTATTAAGAGACACTATTATTATAAATTCTAATTAGGCAAATTATACAATATCAATTATGTGTATATTGTATTCATATTACATATGTGCATGTTTACTTAAGTGCTATTTGGTATAACCAGGCAAATGAATACTGACAGGCGATATGAGTTAAATCAAGATTCACAGTGACAAACCTAACTCCGGTTTTTCACTGGAGAGTCTGCTCCCCCGCTAGGGACGAACGAGGTCCTTTTCTCCAGCTCATGAAGCTGTGTGACACACAACTCAACGACAGGAGAAGTTCAAGTATTCTTTATTCAAAGTTGAAAAATGTACCATACTGCATTATTGCAAAAATTCACTGGTACAAAACACTTTGCAGCTGGTGAGAAGGCAATAAAAAGTTGATTTTTAAACTCATTACTATAAATTATTCTTACAGTACTTTGCAAATTCAGAATTTCAAACTGCATCTTCCTTTTCTACATTGCCCACAGTACTCGAGGTTCCTGAAGCTAAGGCAGCTTGTTCCAGAGAGGAGGAGGGGGAGGAGGTAGCAGACGTCAAGGGATTTCCATTTCTCTTTCGATGCCCACGTACTTCAGGGCGTCAGCCTGGCTGTATCTGAAACAGCACGAGAGAGGCGTGAGCACCACCCGGCGCGGACACTTACCGCCACTGCTGCTTAATTCAGCGCGGGCCTCAGACACCGCCGTGTGCAGACGGCGACGCAGACAGCTGTGTCACTGGTAATTTTACTACAGCCCTTCCCACAGCTTTCTTCCCAGCTACCCACTCTGTCCCTGAGACACACTGTCCAGGAAGGCATGGTCCACATCATGACCTTTAGGCCTAGCACTGGGAAGGCAAGAGAAAGAGAAAAGTAACTCTGATCTGGCTGGAATGATGACTTGGGCCCCCAGTAAACAGGGCCAAAGAGTGGCCACAGCTGGTGCCCTCCAGGTGAAGAAAGAATGGGGACAGCACACAGAAGCGAGAAGAGCCTAGGACCTCCACCACAGCAAGGGGGGCTACGGGTCCTCTGAAAGGAAGCACTGGCTATGCTGCCCCCTAACCCAGGGCCACCCAGCCGCTGCTCATGCGGGGGGCAGGGGCACTGCTTACAGTGAAGTAGCAGTGGTGGCCTCCCCTAGGGCGATGCTGACTGGGGTCCTGGCACTTCCACTGTGCAGCAGTTTGCCATTAAAGGTGGCTACATATGGGCCTTCGTTTAACACAACTCAGTATTCAGAACCCAAGCTTCTGAATGGGCCGTATATTCAGCCACAGGATTTGTGTAATTAGACAGTCGTCTGACTGCATTTAAATAACTTGTCAATTTATCCTACAGAATTTGACAATGTAAACTGCCAGCTGGATACCTAATCTCATAACCACCACCGGGGGCCCGTGTGTCCTCAGCATCCTGACGGCAGGCATGGCTTTTCCCACAGAAAGGACCCCGAGGATGACCAGGTAGGATATTGGCCAAATGTGCCTTAAACTATTAAAATACTAAATAATGATGTATGTAGTACTCCAGCAATTAAACATAGTGTGACCACATTCACTTTAGAAAATGCACCTGTAGGAACTCAGGTGGCATGGCCATGCACAAAGCACACGTGCAAGCATGGTGTCAAGAAGTCCAGGGGGCAGACCAGCTCTTACCAGCAGGGTTAAAAATGGGCCTTTCTGCATTCTTTTATAATAAACTACGTGACCAGAAAAATATAAGCTAACTCCCACGGCAGATGGTGACTGGGACTCAGCCCTCCCACACGGGAGATGAGCAGAGAGCTGAAAGACAGCCTTTGGCCCCAGCTCCGAGTCCAGGAAGAAGCCTTTAGATCACACCAGAAAAATGGACTGTTACCCACCTGTAATCAAAAAACAGCTCTTCACCAGTCTGGATGGCTCTCTTAGCAAAAATCCCTATCCTGTGATCGCCATTAACCATCATAACTGGAGAGAGAGAGACAGCAGTCAGCGTGCTGGCGGAGACAGGCCGCAAGGAGGGAGCCCACTTGCTCACAAGCACCCATCCGCCCAGGGCCAACAAGTCTGCTACCACTTTCGGACTCCAGAGCACCTACCTTTTGCATAGCAGTTGGGATTTACTGAATGGTTTGCAAAACGAATTTTGTTACCCTTGCGGGTTGCATCCACCACAAAATCTAAGAAGAAATAAGTACAATCCACTGAACCATTTCAGTTATAGATCAATAATTCTGGAAATACAACTGGTTATAGTTGCTTTTGAAGGCAAACCCTGAAGAACTAAGTCATTCAACCAACTTCAGAATGAAATGACATTTGGAGGAAAATGCTGTTCTAGGTTAAAATTAATCAGTAATTCAAGAGTTTTCTCTCTCAAATGCTGTTACTTATCAACTATAAATATATATTACTGAGCAAAACATTGCAAAAAAAGGATTCTGACTAAGTTCTTCTCAACACCAAGAATAAGTATTTTTCAGATTTAAAATTGGTTTTTTTCATCATACTGTTTATGGAACACGTTCAGAGAAAGAACCTATCCTGCTATTTCAGCTGAGAGACTGAATGTCTGAGATGTTAAGCACACCTGCGTTTCCCTCGTACTCCCCCCAGCGACACAGACTACAGCCTTACGGTCTCTACTCAAGAACAGCATCGGCAAAAGCAGCTTCCTGGGTTCTCATAGTCCTCTGAGAACACCTAGGGAAGTTTTGGAGATGCCTGCGAATTCAGTGCTCCACACCCTTCCCAGGAAGGACCAAGCTGATTCAACACCCGAGGGGCCAGGAACACGAGGAGGGCAAAGCAGTGGAGAACGGAAGAACGTCTCACAGCCATAGTGGTGTGGCCCCGCCACAGCTGGCCCAGAACTCCAGAGCTCAAGTCCTTCCCACACAACCCGTTCTCCCAGAGGAACTCCTCCCCTCCGGTTCCGGCAGTCCAGCCTGCTTAGCTTTCAAGCGAGCAGCCCACTCCTAAGCCTGTACCAGCTAGTAAGAAATACTAGAAGCTCCTAACGTGGAGATGGTGCTCCTTGCAACCCCCTCATGACACTTGGGGCCGCTAACTTCATTTCTGAGGACGTCGGCCAGTGGACAGGCTCCCAAAGGCAAATCAGTAACTGACGCCTTCACCTCATGAACTTACCGTTATTCAAGTTGAACAGAAAGCTGCACATGTATTTATCATACACTTTCCCTCTTCTGTCTGCTTCGTCTTGAGAAATAATCTAGAAAGAAAGACAGGACAAGATGGTTTTGGGTTAGGTGGTTAAACCTGGTAGGAGAGCACAAAAAGCCCATCTAGAGAAGCTGGGACCTTCAAGAGGAGGATCCTCGACAAGTAGTCACGGTGGCCAGTTTCTCTCCCATTCAGTCTGCATGCTGATATGTCAAAGAACAATGATATTTTAAGGACTTCAACTCAGAAATATTTCCACAGCCAAACTATACTTGGAGAAAGTGACTAACAGAAGTGTTTTTAGTGAATAAAAAATACCAGCTCGGTGGGTTACTTCCCCATTGAAGCAAAGCCAGCCCTCTGGACCTCCCCTGACTCCACAACTAACAAGGCCTAGGATTAACGACACTGGCATTTCTAGGTCCTTTTTAGGCTGTGGACTAAGCAGGACAGACTCTGCATCACAAAGTTCTTGTTCCTGTGCTTGTCCCCAGACGATAAAAGCTGAATGTGACAGATCAAAGCAGTCTGGTTACCAGCAAACCAAACCCACCAGCATGAGTAAGTCCAAGCTGAAAAGGCACTTTCTATTCATTTATTTCTCATCAAACCCAATGGACTTGCACAGTGAAATCAATGCAAAACAAACAAAAGTTATCTACAGTACTCCACGAACCGTGTGATAGTACTCTCGCCTCACCTCTCCACAGTATTCCGAGATGAATTCATTTTTCTGCACAGGATCTTTGATGAAAATCCCCCAGCCTGCCACATCGGATGGTGCCAGCAATAAATGCTGGAGGAAAAAGCACAATCATAGAATCAAAGAAGGAAGCGAAGAGGGGCTGCTGACACAGTCGACTGCGGGATGGATCCCTCTCAGTCTTCAGCCCTGTTCTCACAGACGGTCAGTGAGGAGGAAAGCTGCTGAGTTCCCCGCACTGAGGGGTCAACTCCCCAGGTATTGCCACAGGGGCTGGCAATGCTTTGGGGTAAGTATTCTCTACCTTACAGAAAAAATGAAGTCACTTCTGAGGGCGGTGGTCCCCTCCATCTGCCACCATTCAGTGAGGTATCCCAGGACCGTCACACTTCCCTTCTCCATCATTTCCTCAGTCTTTAACGTTCTTGAATAGTCCACTTTCAAGGTGAATTTAATACAAGAACACCCAATCACTCTCTCCCCTCCACTTCCCCAGTGACCACTATCACTGGCGACCCCATTTTCAGTTCCAGGCCCCCAGAGAACATTCTCCTGGTTCTTCTAGCGTCTGTCCCTCCTGAGGCTCTGCCATTTCTCCATGGCAGTCTCTCTGGGATGTGCTCTTCCACAGCCCTTCCTTGAGGCAGCATTAGGAACGACCATGATCTCATCAGTCCAGCATTCTGGTCTTAGGAGATGCCAAGAGGATCATCGGTGTCAATTTTATACTTAGGGATTCCTTCCCAACATACTCTAACTTTTCATGTGGTTCACTATTACTTTCATTCCAAATTTCCCAATCTATTCCTATTCTAATCCAGCCTACATTCACCTGTCAGGGAAATTCCCCAAATAGCTCACTGATCAGAAACTAAATTAGTCAAATATTGTTAAGCAAATGAAACCCGGTTGGTAAAAACTATCTACCTAATTTTCTTTTCTGTTTTAGAAGTTAAAAGATGTTTATAAAGAAGACCTGTCAACATGAACAGTATTACCTACTTCCCAGACAAACTGGAGGATGAGTTTATCACGCAATGGCAGGTATGGGATGGGGGAGAAATGAGATTTTGAGAGCTCAACAGATGTGCCATGGGACACTGTACAACATCACTGTGATGGGATGGCCTCGATGGACCTAAGTACCTAGAGCAAAAGGACTAAACACCTGAAAACATCAGAACACCCAAAAAGAAGTATTTCTGGTAGAAGGGGACCACTTCCAGGAGTGTGGTCTCAATTACGTCATACAACGGTTCAGTAACCTAAGACATGAATACACACCAACCCACGGCAGGGCTCTGGGGCCAGAATGCCTGCACTGGAGTTCCTGCTCGTTTCCTTAATGAGTCTTGTAACTTTGGGTTTCCTCACCCGTAAAATGGGGTTAACTCGCGGAGTTATGAGGACTAATGCGTTAATACACGAAAGCACTTAGACCAGTGCCTGCTGTATATCAAATAATAAATGTCAGCTATTACTATAAAAATGATTAATTGATGAAGAACCCCATCATCTACCCTAAAAAAAAAGGAGATACTGAACTTCCCCAGCATATGCTGTTAGTTTCTTTTGCTCAGTAATGACTTCTTGGTTGCTACAATTAGAATCACCTGCATACAGTTCCCAGGCTTCAGTTATGATCCCTGTGTTGTTTTCAAGGTTATTAAAGAAACGAGAACTAAGTCTGCAAAAACTACCAGGGGAAATTTCATCTTTTACTCTGCACAAGAAGGAAACTTGGATAAGAATGGGTCTCTATATTCTGAGAGGAACACCGTTTATTTGTATGAAGGAGACTATATAAACTACTAGTTCTATTAACTAAAAAAAAAATTCAAATCATCTATTAAACCAATTAGGAAAAATACCTTATTCCAAATCTGATCCCATTAACAGCTGTTTCATCTTACAACAGAGGTGGGTGTTCTATAGAAAACTTAAGAGATTGCCCAAGGATGCATGGCCCAAAGAAAGATCAACCATTTTCCCTCTATCAGCTGTACCATTCAATGGTCATTTCCACTTTTTTGCCACTGCTAAATGGTCTGAGACTGTCCCAGCACTGACAACAGGCAAGAGCCATCCCAAACTGACCATCCAGGAGGGACAGCACTGTTACCTTTTTGGAGCCCCGCTGAATACTACAGTTCTTGCAGGACACGTTCTTGCTGTCCCAGTGGTCAGCAGCTCCACAAGTGAGACAGAGGTCAGGGTCGCACTCTCGGACAGCCAGGTAGCACGGGCACTGCTTCGTGTTGCACTGTGCTTTGCAGCGGCACCCGGGGAAGCGGTTCTGACCTGCAGAGAGATGTTCTTTGTCATCATCTTAGGCAACTGCTACATGGTGGGGCATGTCAAGTATCGTGCAAAGGCCAGAGTGACTGTCACCTCACGCCCCCCCTTACTAGCCCCTTGTGCAAACGAAGACACTGAAGTAACAGGACAGTTACAGCTGTCAACACTGACAAAGGTCATCACTGAGTTCTTGTTTTTCCATTTTTGTTAAATGGTGTGTTTACTTAAAGTTCTTTGATTTCTAAAATATGTGTGATGGGAGGGTTTGGGCTAAATAATATCCATGGTTCTTGACCATCCTAGAGTCCACAGTTCTAGGAACTTCCTTAGTATCAGAGCTTCATGTGCAGTTTCATTAAATAACTATAATCTTTACTCTTATGCTAGATTCTTTTATATTCTGAAGACTTAAACCCACCTAACTCTGACAATTTCTGGCGCCCAAAAAGTATTAGGCAGTTATTTCTAGATTCCCCTTACATTCTATGATTTAATTTAAATGATCAAAGGAAAAAAGCTCCTTTAATCCAATTTTGCTTAACCTACACACATTAACCAGGAGATCGGCTGGACACCAGCACGGTGCCGGTTATAGGGCTCCATAAATATCCTTGTAGATAAATGGATTTCCTACAGGAAACAACAAGCAAGAGCTGCCATGTTTTTCGTTTGATATAAATTACTATTTTAAATTGCTGACCAGAAGCCTATTAAATTCTCATGCAATTACATCAAAGCAGTAGATACTTACACTCTGAACTACACTGACAAAACTTTTCACAAAAATTTTGTGCTATCACACAAGGGCACGAACTGTCACAAGGCTGCCGTGGGTGGTCACAGGGTTGATAGTTGTAAACGTGGTTAGAGGAGCCATCTGCACAAAGAGAACAGCAGGCAGGTCAATCCAGAGGGGTGCACGATGATGGGACACGACGAACAGGAACACGTTCTTCCCCAGTACCTGTGGAGCTGAGCGGGTTTCCCTTCCTGTTTACAGCTCTCCACATACTCTTGTTTACAAGATGAGGTTCCCTCTCATCCCCCAAGTGCTTGGGTACCCCAGAGCACTGTCACCCACACCACAGTCAGATTTCCAGAGTACTTTCTTCTTTAACTGACTGGCTGACTCACTCCACCCAGTCAGCTTTCACTGTTAATCAACAGACATCCTCCATTTAAATTGGCTTAATGTACAGAAGTCAATTATATCAGAATATCCCAAACTCTAATTCAGTTACTATGCTGAAACAAATGAGAAGTAGACATTTTTAAGTTAATAATGAAGTTGAACGGAAAGATGCTAACCCTTTTTCAGCTGTATCTTTCTGCAGTGTGCAGCCCACAACCTGCAAAACACAAAGAGAATAACACACAGCCTTCTTCGAGGAGCTAGGAGTGCAGTCACAGCACAACCCAACAGCAGCCACTTCCCCGGGCCGGACTGTGCCAGGAAGACCTCAGTGCTTTAAATCCAGGTCACTGTGAAGCAAGTCACACACCAGACAGCTTCCATGTGCCGTCAGTTCAATGGCTGCGGGCCTGTGTGGCAGCTGGCCCCACCGTGTGCCACAGCGTGCGTGGGCCCTTTACAGCCCCGGCTGGCAGGACTTAGGGCGGCCACGCCTCCGTGTGTCTGCCATTGACCTGTATTACCCAAATCCTGATGTGGGAGATAATGATACCGTAAGCTTCCTCTAATTTCAGGCATTTTAATCATTCAGTTGAGCTATATGGTCAGAAATAATACAACCAAAAAATTCAGAAGTATCTACTAAAGCCTAAATTCCTATGGGAAATACTTCTAAGTTCTTTCAGTTCCAAATTAAGTTGACCCTGACCCTACATTTATTAAAGAAATGTCACATGAGCATGTACACAATTTCTGAAGTGTCATCTAAATGTCCCCTTGCCCAACACCCAACTATGCTTCTCTCTAAAAGGGGAAGGATGACAACAGACGGTCCCTCCATGATTTTCTGGCTCTTCCCTTAGAAATCCAGTCAGCCTGAAAACATTCTCCACACTTCGTCACTCACTTACCACAAGCCTTTGTGAAAGGTAACATTCACACCGGCTTAAAGTAGGGTAACAATTAAGGATATCAGAATGCAAGGCCACACACGTAGAAAATTCAGGCTCCTAGAAGAAAAAGCGGCTCAGAGCCCACATGAGCACTCCCGAGACTCACCACAGGAGCACGTCCGAGAACAAAGGCTACGGCACTGCTCTCTGGGGCCCTTCCTGCAGAAGCTACTACCTGTTTTCTTAACCCAAACGCAGCATAGTAACCGTAATTTTTGTGACTCATAACAAACCAAACCAATCTAGTGAAGGCTGCTGTATTTTTACAGAAAAATACCAGCAACGAACGACCCATGGAAGCAAGACTCCACAAGTCTATTTTTGAGGCAGTTTTAAGTGTTTTCTGCAACAGACAGCGTGGAATCCGACCACTGCCCTTGGAAGTGCCCAGCCCGCAGCGTCTCGGTGACGTCTCAGAACGGCCGCCCAGCAGACTTACCGGTGTTTCCTTTTCTTCTTTCTTGGAGGAGTATCGACATCCTCAGCGGGAGCTGGAGCTATGATACTGGATTCTTTGACTCGAAACTCATACACCTAACAAGAGGCACAGTCACAGAGCCATGAGGACCGTCCATTAGGCAAACCAGTCCTGTGATACTCATTCACACCAGAAACTGCGTCTCTTCTGGGACCCTGCTAGGTGCTGGGGAAGCACAACAGATACTGCCTCAACCCTCACGCAGGGAGAGCGGCTGCAGTGACATTCGGATGCGGAGTTGCAAGGCTAAATCCAACTGGCTTTGTAACTCCATTGCCACCTAACCTGAAATAGCTAACGTGGGAAAACCAATTTTCTTTCAGTTCCCTCTCAGTGAAAAAAAAGAAATTTACTTCCTTTCAGAAGATGAATAGGAGCTTAGTAATAACCAAGAATGTTCTGATGTTCGGACAATGATTACATCTTCTCTACCCGAAGCTCTCTGACAGTATCTTTATCAGATATGCTTACCTGTCTACATGTTTTGGTCCCAATTAACCTGGCAATGGCACAGAAATTGTCGTAGTATGTACCAATGAGGACCCTGAACATGGAGGCCTCTGCCCCGCTCCATTCCACATTCTCTGGAGGCTCGATATTTGGCTTCATCTTGATTGGTGTTTGACACCGAGAATTCGCTTCTACAAAACCAAAGTTAAGCATCAGTCAAGAAATGACAACTGGAGAACAGGAGGAAGTAAAACTCAGGGTGTGCTTAAAAAAATGCAGGAAGTGAATCATATTTGAGAATAAACTAAGGCTAGAAAAGTATCAATAAGCTCTTCTCCCATGGAAACCATGAGGTTTAGCTCCCTTAACACAACCTTCGAAAATGAAAGTAACCTGGGTTATACTTTTATTATTTGTGCTATAATTCATAGGGCTGAAAGGACAACTAAAATCTAATCAGTAAAATACCAGTTGGTAGCTCTAATTTTCCTCTGTAACCACAACTACTCACAGCACATCAAGAATAGTAAACTGAATGATCTGAATTTCATTAGGCCCTGTCTGAGATGGAAAAGAAAATGACACCAAGAGTCAAAATAAACTGGCTCATCAACCTTCAAATAATCCAAACAGGCAAACCGACCCAGGCTGGGGTCAGGGTGCAGGGCCACAACAACAGTAAGAATTCAGCTACGTGATCCTTGAGAGTTAGAAAACTAAGCGACTAAGAAAATTATTCAGTACACTACACACTCTTAATTCACAATTTGAAACCTTCAAAGCAATAGTAAAACCCCAGTTGTCAGACAGGTCTTACCAGAGGAACTGGAAGTTTCATCTTTCTTCTCCTCCTCCTCTTTATCATTGTTCTCGCCTCCCGTCTCAGTGCCGGCTTCCCTGTCACTGTCCGTGTCCTTTGACTCCAGCACGTTAATGGTGGGGGTGCTGGGTCTGCTGCTGTTATTGGGAAGCCGTCCTCTTCTGCGGCCTCCAGGGCGTTTCGGTGGGGTCTTGATCCGCTCAGCGGTGAGGGCAGCAGCAAACTCCTTTGCTCCCTCCTACAAAGTGAAAAATGCAGACATGAGGGTAAAGTTCTGCGACTCATTTTGTTGGAGGAGGAAAAAAAGGATTGCATAAGGCAAGTTAGTCAAGAAATGTATCACCATGTCTATTTTTCACAAATAATCATTTACATATCTAAATACACTTGTTTTCTGTCTGCTTTTGACAGTTCGAAATTTCAGAAAGATAAATATGGGTTCTATATATTATTGCTAGAGTGGTACGAAATCAGGTAAGACAGTTCCATATTTGAGAATTTGTGAAATACATTAACTGATTAAATTAAAAAGTCAAAATATAAAATACACTGTGTTATATACAGTCTATTTAAAAGTGAATTTCTGTAAGAAGTGTATACCTAATGTGCATCTAGAGCCAGACTTTCCTATTTCAGGGTTTCTTAAGATAACATACATCTCTCTCTGGTAATATTTAGAAGTATACGAGAAGAATAAAAACATACACACATGCTTGAGTCTGTCACTTCCTGCCGTACTATGAAAACATCCAACTCTGTTTTTCCTGTGAGCATGCACAGCCCCAGGAAGACATGAAAGGAACTGAGGACCGAGGCTCTGAGAGTCCACTCAGCATTATGAAGGGCAGTAATCCAGTCTCAGAGAGAATGCAACGGTGAGAGCAGGATTATAGAGACTACAGACACATTTTACATGAGCCAAATAAAGTTCTGCCTTGTAAAGAAGATTATAAAATAGTGCTCAAGAATTCTATTTTTAGTGGCAATAGAAGGGAGAAGTTTTAGAGTAGCCAACAGTTTTTATACTTCATTCTACAGAAACCAAATTGCTTAAAGATAGGATACCTTCTGCAGGTGCCATTCAATGAATCTTCTGTCCAAAATCCAACAGGCAATATATACCCATTTAGTTCCTAGGTAGGAGTGGCTTGGTTCAAAGAGGGGGAAATGGTAAAAATAAGATAGTACCCGTAAAAAAACAACTTTTCTACCTCATCTTTTCCTAAACCCTTACCTTTTCTCCATCATTTAAAAAAAAAAAAAATCTGTGGGACCTATAATATAGCTCACACTACAGTGTCTAAAACTCAAAGAAGGGCTATGGCTCTGAGAAAGGCTGAGGAACTACTGCCTATGACTCCCAAGTTTCTGGGGTATAAAAGTGGGCTGTCTGCTTCACACTCTCATCAACTTTGTGGAAGGTATGAGAGTCCTTGATCCTAAAGACCTTGAAATGTTGCTGAAGAGATTAACACAGAGAATAATACAAGATTAATGGAAGACTAGAATGTGTAGTACATAAAAGCTACGGAAGAAACAACGTGGGTGAGAAATCCCTGCTACTATATGGCCAGTAAAAGTATGGGAATAGTAATGTTAACACTGACTTCATAGGCCTCACCCAAGTTCAAAAGTAGACTTCTCCAGTGCCCTCTGGAATACACAGCACTCAAGCTTACCAAATGCTGGTAACACTGTGGTCCACAAGGTTTGTTGTCTAGAGCTGTTTCCGTATTCTTCCGCTTGTAAGTATTGGGTGTTGCATGAAAAGCTGCAAAATAAACATAAAATATCTATGTGTAACTATATTTTACTCTTTCATTTCCCAGCTTCGATGCAAAAAGTCAATTAACGCATTACACTCTTGATAATATGTAGTTTACATTATAGAACTTTCCTTCAAGCTCCTACTGAATTATCACAATGTCTTCTCCTTGATTCTCCCCCAGAGAACCTCCACTCCCCTTCAACCACTAACCAGGGAAGAAATAGAAAATTCTGGAATGATTAGTCATTTCTTATTTTTCTCCTTGCAAGTATAACTGATGCCTATAAACTGAAAGCTCTGATTATAAACATTTGAGTCTTTAATATCTCCATAGAAACAACTGATATCTTCTACAATGAAATCAGGTTTCCTACTTTTATCAAAAGAATTCTGACATCTACAACTTCTTGATTTCTAAAGAAAGATCAGCAGTTTGTCAAATGGCGAAGAAAGGGATCCAGTTGTTAAAAACTAGTTTTTAAAGATAAGGAGGACAGCCTCAGAATACTAAAATTCAATTTCTTTGAATCCTACAGCATTCAGGAATCTAGTAGGAACTCACACAGTCAGCACCGTTCTACAGGAACATACACTGGTCAAATAGAACGGGTTTAAGAAAGATCAAGTGTTTGAAACTTAAAATTCCCAAATAATAAGATAACAGAAGGATTCAAATCATGTACCCTGGTCTACTAACGGAGTGAATGCACAGCAGTGAGGACTTCGGAGAGCCTCCTGTGGAAGCCTGCTTCCAGTGTACAGAGGCAGGTGTGAGAATCGCACTATTTGGATTTATACATGATGAAAGTTATTTCAATTTGGATAAAAACGAGTGGCATACCAGGAAACGAATCATTAAAAAAATATTTGTAAAAAGCTTCTATCTATCCATAGAACTTAAATGGGAAATAAAGACAGACTGATGAGGGAAGGAAGCAAAAAAAAAAAAAAAAAAGAGGACAAAGTTATGTTCTTAAAGTGGAAATTCAAGGCTCAAATTCTGTTTCCAGGGTGTGAGTTTTTCCTAGAACGATTCCTGAGACCATCTGACTACTTTAGCACTGGATCACATCTTGAACAGGTAAAGACCCCTAAATACAATGATTGAGAATACAGAAGGCTGAGGTCACATCAGCAGCAAGGAATGACATCAGTCCAGACACAAGGTCAGCATTAGCCAGAGTGGCGCATTTTTGGTAAAATTTGTTTTTAGTTTAGATGTCTCCTTTAGCACATACTATATTTACAGATTGAAATTCTTGCCCCAAATTCAGTGCACATACAAAGGCACACATGTATCTGTACACACACACACACACACAAATGAGGACAGCAGCCTCTGCTGGTCCTGAGCTTGCAGATGTCTCTAAGTCAGAACTGGATAACAGTTTGTGAGATAAGACAAGAACAAGTTCAGGCTATAAAGGAAAAATTAACATACTAATATTCAAAAGTACTTTAAAAAATTTAAAAGTACCATTCTTAATTTCACATTGCATTCACTTAAAGAAAGAGGACTATTCTTTTTTTTTTTTTTTTTAGATTTTTTATTTTTTTCCTTTTTCTCCCCAAAGCCCCCCGGTACATAGTTGTATATTCTTCGTTGTGTGTCCATCTAGTTGTGGCATGTGGGACGCTGCCTCAGCGTGGTTTGATGAGCAGTGTCATGTCCACGCCCAGGATTCGAACCAACGAAACACTGGGCCACCTGCAGCGGAGCGCACGAACTTAACCGCTCGGCCACGGGGCCAGCCCCAAGAAAGAGGACTATTCTTATGACTACATTTCCCTCAGCAGAATTTTTAACTTCAATTCTTTAGAAAAACTAAGTATGTAAAGAATTCCCTCTTCTGAAAATGTCTTGACCATTTTAGATTTCCAGAATACTGAACATAATATTCTCAAATAGGCATCTTAAAATACTAATATTTGAAATAAGCTATTAAAATATATTTCAAATTAAATATAATATGGGGGAAAAAAGATGATATAATATAAAATTCCCAGATCAGGAAAATTATTAGAAGGAAATTTAAGGCAAGAAACTTTTGAATTTTACAAAAGAGCAAACATGGATATTGGGGCTTTTTTTTTTTTTTAATTTTTCAAAAGGACCCTGTAAAATCTTAATGAAAAATCTTATCTAAAGGTTTTCTAGCAAAGTTAAAAGATTTATAAATTATCACATACAATTCCAGCTATTCTCTATACCTATATTTTGAGATTACATTGGCAACTCTAAAAAATAGCTAAAATATACTGATTAGCCCCTTAGAATCTTGTAATGTTCCACCAGATAAGTGATGTCTCAAATAGAGGACTGGGGAACCAGAGAATTACAGTTGGAACAAACCTTGGCCATCACCTGTTTCCAGTGGCGATTTTACGAAGGAGGAAACAGGAACAAGCAGAATCGTTTGTGCAAGGAGCTGGCCACAGAAGAGACTAGCCCCTCATTCAGCACTCTTCACAACATGGAATGAGAGTAACTTCGCATCTCTCTGTCTTTGTAACTACTATCCTTAGCGTACACCACTTCTCTGAAATACTTCAGCTTGTTGTCATGTGATAAGAAAATAAATGATCCTAGGTCAGCTTGAAGTGTCAGTTTTATACATTAACTTCTGCTCAAAGTACTGATCTTGTCTGCTCTGATTAGAACTTGGTATTAAGAATAAATTCTTACTTAATATTCTTACAGTTGGAATCATATAATTCTTGTGTATATCACAGATACCAGACTTTTATTAACAAGTACCTCACAAAATAACATCAATAGGAGAGTAGTGACAACAGCAGCAGCGGTGACAGCAGCTGACAGCTACGACTCATGCGCTGGAAGCACACACTAAGAGGCTTTAGGCATTATCTCATTTAATCCTCACAAACTCCCCCAGGTACTAGGATCCTCATCCCCATTTTACAGATGAGGCAAACCGTGTTAATTATGTGGCAAATATGAACTTTTAACCATTACACTTCTGAAATACTAAAGTCAACCATCAACTACAAACTTGGGAATACCTTCTTTGAAATTCTATTTAAAATGTTTAAACCTCTACAATCAACAGTAATAGACATTCCAGAAAAGAGTCAAACAGACTCCCACATAATATCAAAAAAGACAGACTGACACAATTGGGTTGTATGCCTAAAATGGACTCTTCCACAGGCCACTCAGATAATAGGGTATCAAAACGTTTATTCATGCACAGTTCTACTTTGGGTCCTATTTAAGCACATACAGACAGCCCATTTAAATTTCCCAAGCTTCCTTTCCCATGATGAATTTTCTTCATGCTTCCTTCCTTCCCTATCAGAAATGTGTGACCCGCCCGTCAATTCAGGAGCTGGCCCGCGTTCCTCTAACACAGGGTCAAAGACAGCCAATTTTAGGCTGAAGCTTTTACAAAGAAATTACCATGATTCCAAATTTGCAGAACAACGAGTTTCCAATTTACAAACTGGACCATGGTCTAAAAGTTATTTGGAATATGAAGTGGGATTAGTTCCCTACCAAAACCATTTATCCTTCAAGGTTCCTTAGAACATTCAAGTCCCTCTAATAGGAAAGATCCAGGGTCAGACACTGAGCTTCTGGCCCAGGTGAACTGCCAATCTCCTACTACCAAAACACCCTGCTTATAGATGAAAACGGCAGACACCTCTAACATCTAAATGACAGGAAAGGCCTAATACGAGCACAGAAATAATTTAAAAACTTAACATCCAAAAAGGCCCTTTCACCTGGAAGTTAAAAAAAATTCTGCCTTAAACAATGAGTTAAAGAGAAAATATAAAAATTCCTTAAAAAATAATACTAGTAATAATACCAAATATCAGAACCTAAGAAAATTGAAACAGTGCTTTAGAGACAATTCATTGTGTTAAAATACATATATCCAAAAAAAGAAGAAAGACTGAAAAGAACCCAACTCATAAACAGAAAAATAGTAGAATACAGTAGCTAATTCTCTGAGTGAAAAATACACAAAACAGACTTTTAAAAATAAAATACATAAACCACTTCTTAATCTCATCGAAAAAGGGGAGAATGAAATACATAAGAAAAAAGAATCATCACAGAAATAAAAGAAATTAAAAGAACCTTTAGAACATGTAGATCAACTTTATACAAATAAATTTCAAAACCTGGATGACATGGATAATTTCCCAAAACTGATCCAGTAGCAACAGAAAATGTCTCTACTAGCACCACTATTAATTAACACTGTTCTTAAGATACAAGCCAACGCAGTTAAATAGGACAAAAAACTTAAAGTTAGAGAGATTGGAAAGAAGGCGAAACCATCTATAACTGTAGACAGTTGAATTACAGAGCTGAAAAACTCCAAAGAATCTACTGAGAAACTACTATAAACAAAGACAATTCGGTATGGGAGCAGGGTATAAACTATATAAGATATAAAGGGAAAAAAGCCCAACAGCAGCAACAACACAATTAATACCTAGAAATCATCTCACCAAAGATGTACAAAAGCTATGTAAGAATAGTTGAGAGGTTATTAAAAGACAAAAGGAGGCTGATCGTATGGTTAAACTTGATCCTTATTTAAAAATGTCTATTTCCTTTTAGGTACTTTATAAATTTAATGGGGTTCCAGTAAACAGTAATACCACCTAGACTTTTTTTTTTAAATTAGACAAACTGATTTTCAACTTTATACAGGAAAACAAGAATAGCCAGATCTCCTGGACAGGCAGATGACGGGGCAGAACAGAGACCAGAGACAGACCCAAGTGCGTGGAGACAGGCTAGAGAGTGTCTCAGGACAGTGAAGGGGGGACCTTTTTCATCAACAATATAAAAACAACTAGGTAGCCCTGGAGGCTGGGACGAGGAGCTGGATCCAAAATTCTATCAGAGTAAATTCCAAAGGGAGCAAAGAGTTAGATGTAAAAAAATGAAGCCTAAAACATACTAGAAAAAAGTGAGAAACCCTTTATAATCTTGGAGCAGGGAGAGTTCACTCATAAATTCAACTACCTTTAAAATTTTTTAAAACTTATGGGATTTTTACCAAACAATAAACTGGAAAAAAAAAATTGCAACATCTCACAAAAAAAGTAATTTCCTGACTAAATAAAAAGCTTCAAGATACCACTGAGCATCAAGCCCAAGGAGGAAAATAGTTCAAAGAAAATAAAATACAAATCTCTAAAACATATAGGAAGAAAAAATGCAAATTACACTAAAAACTATTTTTCATTCATTCAATCCATAAAAATCAAAATTGCTCTCTACTGGCAGGGCCCTGGGGAAAGAGGCACTCCTGCTTTGCTGGTGGTCTTACATGGCCACATCCCCATGTGGCAGGTCGTCTGGCAGTATCTGAACGCAGTGATCAGGTTCACCTGCACTGGTGAGAAATGATGTACAGGGGCGCGCACAGTTGTTCACTGTAGCGCTGCTACAGCAACAGGCTTGAAACAACCCAAATGCTGGCCTTCAGGGGACCAGTTCTCTAAGCTACAGTGCCTCCTATGGCGACAGACTCTGCAGCTGTCCAAAGAGGATGGATACCTACGACAGCCAGAAAAGGGACGAGCCTGAACAGCACGGCCCCATTTGAATGGGATGGTCGGGAAAGGAAGAATATAATTGTATCTGCCAGAAGAAACTGCAGAAAGATACAGAGGAACTAACAAAAGAGGCTTAACTACAGGCGAGTGAGGGACGACTCCACGGACGGGGAGAAGTGGTAGGGACGCTTCACTGGAGACCTCTCAAGCATTCTTTGAAATGTGAGCCATGTGAATGAGGATCTATTTAAAAAATAACAATAGCTAAACATGAGCCAGGTACTATTTTAAGTATTTTGCACATAGTAATAACTCTAATCCTCACAACAGGTACTATATTATTCCCAAAATATAGATAAAAAGCAATATTAAAAGCACAAAATGCTCTATTTAACCTATGTTTAATACTTTATTTAATGACTTATTTTACATAAGAAAAATATATAGTGTGTGATCTTTTGTCAAAGTTAGTGCAAAGCAGTGAAATACCTATAAAGTTCATTATGGCTAAATGATGAAGAGATCAGCTCTACTGTCTTGAAAGAAGGAAAGGCAGGCAACAGCTGCAGGGCCCGCTGCTCCAAGCACTGCGGGGAGCTGCCGTCAGCCCCACAGAAGCCAGCTGCACTACAGTGAGAGCTCTCCTCCCCAGCCTGAATGAGACAATTAACAAGTTCAGGGTCCATCAGAAGTACTCGAATCTGAACAGCACAATAAAATAACTCTTATAATAATACTTAAAAGCAGCATTCTACTTCCTTGGTTCATTTGTACAGCAATAAATGTACAATAAATGCTACGACTATAAATAACAAATTGGAGAGACCATTTTATTCACTCCAAAATAGAGGTTCCACCCAATGTTGTTTGCTATAGTGATATCTAAATGCAATTTACAATATTCTTATTAAGAATTGGATATTTTATAAAATGATCATGTATAAAGGGGAATTAAAAGCAATTCAAGACATCTATTTCAAGGACTGTGTGAAGACAACACAGCCAAGCCCATGTAAGATATTTGACCATCGCCCAGTGGCTGAAGTAACAAATGGCTGACTTAATCCGGATTATTAAAACTACCAAATCATCAATTTAAACTAGATTAGGAGTGTGGATAACAACAGCAAGGAGATGGGAGATATAATAATAATTCTAAAAATCTACTTGAAATTTTTCTAATTTAACATAATTAAACCACTAATACTTTACACACACACACACACAAAAATTACCATTTCCAGACCAAGATACATATCACCCAACAAATTATGAGCTACAGCAAATATAAGTAGATAGAGGAGAAACTCAAAATGAAGCAAGATATTAGCTGCTTGGGTGGGCTAATTAACATTAAGAAGTATCTGTGGATAATGAGGGGGAAAATTCTGTAAAAGGTGAGCTTTTAGGAACTCAAAAAGGCAAAGCAGAGTGGAGCCATACAGTATACGGGAAAATGGCTTTACACAGGTCGAAAGCCCTAAGGTGATGCCCTGCCACAGATGATCGCACTAATAAGTAAACTCTACTTAGAAAACTAGGAGGGATGAAATATAGTTTTAAACATTTGCCTCAAAAGTAGCTGGTACTTTTTAAACTGTGCTTAAAGAAATGTTCCAGTTACTTGGGAAATTTACTAAGAAACCTCATTTACCAGCAATGTCAGAAAAATAAAGTAATAATCTATATGCCACACTTAATCATTAAGAACATTTTACGCTTTATCTGTATTCAAATGTAGGTATTTTTTAAAGTAACTTATGCAGAGGACCAAAAAGAAAAATTTAACACTAAGGAGAGAAGAATATTTAAAAACATCTTTTTAGCCAAATTCTTATTCAACAAAATTTGTTCATCAATACTGGCAACATTGCTCTGGGCTATATCAACTAGTTCACAGTAACAGTTTTATTATAAAACAACTGCATAGCTATCATTTATAAGAAAATCACTAACCTGTATTCCAAGTCAGTGGGAGACTACAGTCCAAATTACACACATGCAAAAGACTCCAGAGCAACCCCCCAGCAACAAGTGAAACCAACAGTACTCTGACCCTGTTTTTCAATCTTAACTGCAAGATTAAATGATAAATTCTAGTTGTGATAAATGCAGCACTTTCCCAGTTGCTTTAAGACATAATTCCACAACAAAGATAGAAAATGAAAACGTACAATAATTGCACTTACGATGTAGGAAGCAGTCATATTTAAAACATCGCCTACAGAAAAGCGTATGAAATGAATGCAAGCTTTGCTCCCTCTGAACAGATTTGGCATTTGGTCCATCTATGTTTGGGGTACATTCAGGAGGAAGCGCACCCGGGAGCTGCTGCTCGGTGAGTTCTTTATACCTAACATTAACCAAGAAAAGTGTAAGTAAAGGGGAAACAAAAACTACTTTATTGAAAATAAAGTTTATAAAAGGTTTCCATGTATTACTTTTGATGTTTATCATGCCTAAAACACAAAAGAAAAGGTCTAGCCTACAACAGTCTTTATTTAGATGAAGAACCAATTAATTATGATGCATGGCATATCAAGAATCAAATTCACTGATGATTCAGATTTATCACGAAAAATGTCAGTACATCAACTGCACTAAAATTTCTCCAAGTGTCCAGAGAAACTCTCCACGTGTACCACTGTAAATCCCGCATGTACCTATTCACAGTAAACATTCCGCCACACAGAGGACCACAGATTCACACACTGCTGCCACGGTCTTGCGAACACTGTGGACCAAGGGAGAGAAGTGGCGCAGCAGCTGCCCAAGGCCCGTTTCTCACAAAGCGGAAGGGTGAGTCTCACACCATCCACGGCAAGACCACCTCAAAAGAACACATCTTACTTTTCCTTGAGTTCTTCTGCTGTGCCCTTATCCGGAAACATTGAGGAAATGGCTTCAAAGATTTTATCAGAAGGAAATTTCCGAGGAGGGCAGCTTTCTTTATCTAAACAGGGAAATATGAAAGGAAGAAAAGAATGACAGTAAACAAGTTTTGAATCTCTCCTTTTATCCACACAACTAACAAAGCTGATTTTCTAAAAATGTATCAACTTTGTATTTCACTTACTTCTAATGTATTTTACATATATCTGTGTAATGCTGGTAGGTCAGACAAATGAAAAAAACACAACAGGGAAAGTTTTCAGTGCACTGGAGGTAGAAAACCTTGCTTTTGGGGGGGGGGGGGGTGGGTGTGTGTGTGTGTGAGAACACTGGTTTATAACATCATATAAGTTTCAGGTGTACATCATATTTCACTTTCAGTGTAGATTACATCATGTTCATCAACCAAAGACTACAATCCATCACCACGCACATGTCCCTAATCATCCCTTTCACTCCCCTCCCTCTCCGCTTCCCCTCTGGTAACCACCAATCCAATCTCTGTCTCTATGCATTTGTTTGTTGTTCTTGCTGTTGTCTTCTGAGTGAGATCATACAGTGTTTGATTTTCTCCCTCTGACTTATTTTGCTTACCATAATACCCTCAAAGTTCATCCGCGTTGTCACAAATGGCAACATTTCATCTTTTTTAATGGCTGAGTAGTATGCCATTGTGTATATATACCACATCTTCTTTATCCATTCATCCATTGATGGGCTCTAGGTTGCTTCCATCTTGACTATTGTGAATAATGCCGCAGTGAACACAGGGGTGCATGTATCTTTACACATTCGCGTTTTCATGTTCTTTGGATAAATACCCAGCAGTGGAATAGCTGGATCGTATGGTAGTTCTATTCTTAATTTTTCAAGGAATCTCCAGACTGTTTTCCATACTGGCTGCACCAGTTTGCACTCCCACCAGTAGGTGATAAGGGTTCCCTTCTCTCCACATCCTCTCCAAAACTTATTTCTTGTCTTGTTAATTATAGCCATTCTGACAGGTGTGAGGTGATATCTCGTAGTTTCAATTTGCATTTCCCTAATAATTAGTGATATTGAACATCTTTTCATGTGCCTGTTGGCCATCTGTATGACTTCTCTGGAAAAATGTCTGTTGAGATCTTCTGCCCATTTCTTAATTGGGTTGTTGAGATGTATGAGTTCTTTACATATTCTGGATATTAAACCCTTATCAGATTTATGGTTTGCAAATATCTTCTCGCAATTTTTAGGCTGTCTTTTCGTTTTGTTGATGGTTTCCTTTGCTGTGCAGCTTTTTACTTTGATGTAGTCCCATATGTTTATTTTATCTATTGTTTCCCTTGCCTGGTCAGACATGGTACTTGAAGATATGTTGCTAAGCCTGATGTCGAAGAGCAGAGTGCCTATACTTTCTTTTAGACGTTTTATGATTTGAGGTCTTACATTCAAGTCTTTAATCCATTTTGAGTTAATTTTTGTGTATGGTGTAAGATAATGATCTACTTTCATTCTTTTGCATGTAGGTGTCCAGTTTTCCCAGCATCATTTATTGAAGAGACTTTACCTTCTCCATTGTATGTCCTTGGCTCCCTTCTCGAAAATTAGCTGTCCACAGACGTGTGGGTGAAAACCTCGGTTCTAATCCCAGCTCTGCTACTAACCAGTTTGCGACCTTGGTTGGTCACTTCTCCACTTGGGTCTGTTTCCTAATCTGTAAAATGAAGGAACTGAACTAGATGATCAGTGAGGTGCCTATTATAAAAATGTTACGCTTCTTTAAAATTGCCATTTTCCCCAAATTCTTCTATGGTGTGTTAAGAATGAGCTTTGCCAAGTCTCCACCAACTATCGTCTCTCTTGGGACCCTCTATTTTTCTGGTAAGCCCTAACTAGTGCAAGAGTTAAAAGCATGGGCTCTTGCGGCCAGCCCCATGGCCAAGTGGTTAAGTCCATGCACTCCACTTCAGCAGCCCAGGGTGTCACCAGTTTGGATCCTGGGTGCGGACATGACACCACTCATCGAGCCATGCTGAGGCGGCATCCCACATGCCACAACTAGAAGGACCCACAATAAAAATATACAACTATGGTATATATATACAATGGAATACTACTCAGCCATAAAAAAGGACAAAGGTGTCCCATTCACAACAACATGGATAGACCTTGAGGGTATTATGTTGAGTGACATAAGCCAGACAGAGACAGACGAACTCTGTATGACTCCACTCATAGGTGGTAGTTAACACACAGACAAAGAGAACTGATCGGTGGTTACCAGGGGAAAGGGTGGGTGGAGGGAGGGCACTAGGGGTGAAGTGGTATACCTACAACATGATTAATAATGATGTACAACTGTAAGTTGACAAGGTTAACTATCATAATCTTAATTAAAAATAATATATATATACAACTGTGGGGGCCGGCCCGGTGGTGCAGCAGTTAAGTGCACACATTCTGCTTCTCAGCGGCCCGGGGTTCACCAGTTCAGATCCTGGGTGCTGACATGGCATGGCTTGGCAAGCCATGCTGTGATAGGCGTCCCACATATAAAGTAGAGGAAGATGGGCATGGATGTTAGCTTAGGGCCAGTCTTCCTCAGCAAAAAGAGGAGGATTGGCAGCAGTTAGTTCAGGGCTAATCTTCCCCAAAAAAGAAAATAAATAAATAAATAAAATTAAAAGAAATAAATAAAAATGTATAACTATGTACCAAGGGGCTTTGGGGAGAAAAATGAACAGTAAGATGTTAAAAAAAAAAAAAAACACGGACTCTAGAGTCAGTCACAGCTGGTTACCAGCACAGCATTCTGGGTTCTGTTTCTTCCTGATAGCATAACCTTAACAAAAGTTACTTTACCTCACTAAACCCATCTTCTCAAATACAGAATAGATCTATAAGAATGCCCACCTTGTAGAGCATTATGAGGATTAAGTGAGCTGGTGCATGTAAAGGGATTAGCACACTACTTATACATACTCAATGACGAACATGTTATATATTATAATGATGATTATGAAGATTGCCCAGGGAAACCCAAAAAACAGTATATTCTTTTGCTAGCCAAAGGAAATAAAGACACTCAAGTGCAGGATAAAATGTTACAAATAATATTCTAATTTTGACTCTATTACTATTGATTTGATATGTAACAAAAGAAAAACAGAAAAAAGGAATTAAGTTCTACTTGTACTCTATTTTTGAAAAATGCAGTAATGGCTACACAAAAACCTAATAAACAGACATACCATCTCGGTTCTCCTCTAGATCTTTCTGCTTTTCTTCTCTTTCATCAGGATCATCTCCATCATCATCATCATCATCATCATTGTATTGACCAAGAGCATTCACCAACTCCACAAAAATTTCATCATTTATAAACCCACATTCTGAAATTCATCAAGTCAAATATCAGAAATATACAGAGCCAAGTGGTAATGGCAAAAGTTTATGTATTCCTTTTCTAATTTGGAAGAAATAGCCAGAGCCTATCAGTCAGCACTGTAACATTATTATTAAAACAAGGGGAAAAAGATCATTTTGAGGACTGGTCTGAGGCAAAGTTAGGAAGCAGAGTTTATCTTCAACATCTGTCATTTTCTCTTTAGTCACCCCTCTTCCAAAAGTTTCCAGTGCCTGCTACTAGAACCTCATTCTCTAGAAACTAACTGTGGCTCCAGCCTCCACCCAACAATCTACCGGACAGACCTTGCCTTCCACTGCGGATGAGAATGGACAACGACGGCGGCAGACATTACCCTCCTGCCAGACACTCTAACAGGGTCTCCTGGACACAGAACACCGAAGCCGGGATTCTCAACAGAATTTCAGGCTCCGCAGCAGCCCCGTGGGGAAGGTATTTTTAAGCTTAAGTCCTTTTGGAGTTCATCTGTCACATAAGCAGAGCCCTAATCCTAATTTTACTGCTAAAGAATCTTAATATCTACACACGCTCAAATAATTCTATTTAGTTTACATGTTATTGACATTATAATTTATGTTATAACCAACTAAATGTAATTTTCAAGGGGCAAACATGATCTTTCAATTTAAATATAGAAAAAACATTGAAAATTTTAGCCCTGTGAGCCTAAGCCAGTCCAGCATAGAACTTAATTTCAATATTAAAAAAATCTTTTTCATACCTATGCTTAAAAAAATCAAAATCTCTCTCAATCCTTTGGTCCCCTTTCCAAGAGAATAAACACATGGCTCACCTCTATCCCCATGGACTTTTCCATCATAATTTTTTATTAGTTCTTCAATGAAAGTCCCATCCTGGTCTAAAACCTCATCCCCCATATAAGGAATGTTATGTAAAACAGTTTCATCTTCCACCTAAAAGTAAAAAATTATATTCAAAAAGCATGCTTAGCCTAAGTATTAAAATATTTTTAATCAATGTAATATAACTAAAATACAATTTTTTTCAAAAGTAGATGTCTTTACCCAGTTCTCCAGATGTAACAGACAGCAAACCATAGCTAAAAGCTATAAAGCAATAAAAGACCCGTCTCACCAAAAAGCATTATCTGAGGGAAAAAACTATTTACAGGGGAAAAAAAATTTAAGAAAAAATACTGTATTTATCAAACCTAACATGTCATCAATCATTAAGACTTACCATTATTTTATGTGCCTCTTAGAAAGGAAAAAATGTTGCACATTATGATATGACCCATCACCAATTCTGACACATTCCTACTTCACATGTTAAAAAGTGTCTTAGAATCAATGAAATATGGTTTATCAAAATCAACTATAAATAGCCATACTAAAAGAAACAAATAAATAATATACATAAGGATTTCTAAATCTCACTTGATGATCTGTATTCATTAAAAGAGACTGAATATAATAAAATTCTAGGGATGTTAAATAGAATATCAATGGTCCCCATTAAAGTTTATGCCAAAAGAATTCACTTAAGACATAAAATAAGAACATTCTACAATAATATAGAATATTTCAATACTGAGATGAACAAGATGTTTATCAAAATTGATAATGCTAATAAAGATGACAGATGAAGGTTTGGAAGACAACAAGGAAGAAGGTGCCAGCTTAGCAGGGAAGAGGCAATCAAAGAGAAGTTCTGAGAGAATGGAGTACTTAAGAATACACCGGACCCGAAGCTGACATTCATGGGAGGAAGAGAATTTTCAACAAAGAATATCAAAGACAGGGGCCGGCCTGGTGGTGCAGTAGTTAAATTCACACACTCCACTTTGGTGGCCCAGGGTTCGTGGGTTTGGATCCCAGGCAGAGACCTACTCACCGCTCATTAAGCCACACTGTGGCGGCATCCCACATACAAAGTAGACGAAGATCGGCACCGACGTTAGCTCAGGGCCAATCTTCCTCTCACACACACAAAAAGAATTAAAAAAGACAGTAATTATAGATAAAGACTGGAGGGTTCTGAAGTCCACACTTAAGGAGACTAATTGAAAATGAGGATAGGTCTAAGTCTTAAAAGGCCTTCAAACAGAGTACTAGTTAAAAATAGAATTTCAGAAAGATAGTTCTGATAAACAGAATGGACTCAGACTGACAAGAGGACAGGGCAGGTGTTTAAAGTGTGAGGCGCCCTAGGCTGGGTCTAGGATGCACAGGGCAGATCACACGGAGAAGCCAGGAGACATGGGCAGGAAACACGAAGAAAAGGGAAAAGCTTCAAATAATCCCTGATAACAAATGTATTTAGGGTTCATACCTTAGGCAAACAGGGAAAAGAGCAATTGGGAGAAAAAGTACACACGGGGTATAAAATAAAAATTTAGATTTTATTGATCTATTCAGATTCAAGCTTACATACTACTAAAGAGTCCAGTTTTCATCGCATCTCACTTGCACTAATCCCATTTAAACTAGAAGAGTTAATTTTTTTGGAAGCAAGCCAAAATTAAGTGACATTTGGCTATTTTGTCTTCCCACTTGTATCCATATAACCTTTGCTCCCTAGAACATATCCTAGCCATAATAAAGATAGCCTGCCTAATTTGCTTTGGTCAGTGACCAGCAAAACCCAGGGATGACTCATAAATAATATTTGACAATCTAAACACTATATACTTACAGAATTCCAGTCTGTTGAAACCTCCCTTAATTAAGCTCTTGCAATATTATTCTCAAATTAAATGTTTTGGGTTTTTTTGGGTTTTTTTCCTGCTTTATCTCCCCAAATCCCCCCAATTTGTTGTAAATCTTAGTTGCACGTCCTTTCTAGTTGTGTCATTCAAACTAAATGTTTTTGAATAAAACCTTAAACATAAAAATTTATGCAACTGCAGAAAAGTACCTGCAGTTTGCCTTTACCCTCCACTGTAAAACCATGAAAAGTTAATAAAGACATTGGAAACATCTGTTTTTTTGAAAAAAATCGATTAAGCAAATCTCTAAAGTAGGCTCACCAAGACTTCCATCAACATTTTATTAAAGCCTCACTATTTTATATATCAAGTAAGAAAACTTTATTTATTTAACAACACAATCAAGAATGCATACTCAGATTTTTCTTGTTCCATCCTCCTTCATCCTACTTCTATAAAGAATTAAATACTAGCATTTCATTACAGAAGCTATTGGGCTGGTGTTATCTGTGGAAATATCCTTAAACTGTGTTTTATAAGCCATGAGAATATTTCAGAGTGTACATTATCATTTAATAACATGTTGCCTAACACTGTTTTAAATAATAAGTTCTCAACTAACAAAACCTCAAAGTCAGACTGAGATAACAGGACACTGACTGACCTCTTCAAGGATAAGAACTATAAATTTTACCTTTTGAATATATCTTTAAACCCAGGTACGGTTTTGCTTAACACTTTTCCTTTGGAGAATGTTTTAACTAGAAAGGACTAGGAAAAGAGCAACAACTGCAATGGCTTAAAATAGGTATATATTAATCAGTTTTTTAAAAAAAATCACTCCAAGTGCTGGCGTTTTGATAGCTTTTTTTTTTTTACTTATATTATGTTAACAAGAAAATTATGCTTTTTGACTTAAAGTAAGTGATTATCAAATAAGCCGAAGATGCATGATTTACATACCATGAAATTCTGCTGCAGCGGAGACCAAGAGTACATGATGGGCACTGACGCAACCGCATTCAGAGTCTTTAGTGGGATGACTTGTGTTGGAAAGTCCAAGTCACTGGTCACTGAGCACTAGAACAGAGCAGACAGAACTGACTCGTAAGAGTGAAAGGGCAGCCTGCAGCTGCAGCCGTCATGTTATAAAGGGATGCTGCCTACTTACACAATTTTGAAAAGAAAGTTTCTTTACCTAAGACAGTAAAGTTCATAAAAACCAAAAAGGATTCTTTCCTTCTCTTTTACTTAGGGTGAAAAAAATGCTTCAGATTTTGCAAATTTTCAAAACCCTCCAACTCTTCCCATACTTACCAATATCAACAAGAACCAAAAACTGTATTTATGTTAGCCTCAGTGTAACTGCTCCTTGCTTTGACTCTAATTTCCTAGCTCAATGCTTAATTTCTTTTACATCTCAACCACATGGAATAATAATATATATACCAAATTAGCCACTTAAATCTTACTTAGTAAGTATATGGCAACTTGTTAGGTTAACCTTTCTTATCTTTATCTTCCCTTTTAAAAAACCCAAGTGTCATTTGCTGATATTATCAGATGATACACAGATATTAAGGGGAATAGATCTGAGTTTCAATCATAACAAAATGAATTCACATCAATTCTGCAAAGTGTAATCTCTAAGTTACTAATAATAATAGCTAATGTTATTAAGCACTTTCTATGTGCTAGGCACTATTTTAAATACATTACATGTCCTATTATATTTAGTCCCCATTACAACACTGTAAGATGGGGACTATTCTTAGCCCCCATTTTACAGGTGAGAAAACTAAGGTGAAGAAAGGATAAGCAGTGGCCCAAAGTCACACGTGAGATAGGGCTGGACCTGAAACCCCAACAGTCTGACTCTGGAGCCCCTGCTCTTACCCACTACACATAGTGCCACAATACCGTATTTCTACAATGTTTAAGTGCACATATTCCCTTGGAATACCGTATTTCATCCAATCTATGATGACATCAACTTCAAGGCATACCATTATCTTCTGCATCACTAAGAAAATAATGTCAGTTAAGCTATAACATAACACTTTCTTATCACAGCAATTCTAAGATGCGTGCCAGTTTCAGATGTTAAAGATTAAAAAAGTTTGCATCTTTGATTCTATGAAATACGGTAAAAATCTGTGCCCCACAGCACCTTTCATCCTGTCTAGGAATCCAGCTTTTCTTTTTCTTCTTTTCCTTCTTTTTTTTTTTTTGCTGAGGAAGATTAGCCCTGAGCTAACATCTGCTGCCAACCTTCCTCTTTTTTTGCTTGAGGAAGATTAGCCCTGGGCTAACATCTGTGCCAGTCTTCCTCCACTTTATATGTGGGTCACCACCACAGCATGGCCACTGACCAGTGGTATAGGTCCGTGCCCAGGATCCAAACCCGCAAACCCAGGCCGCCAAAGCAGAGCATGCCGAACTTAACCACTACACCATGGGGCCTGCCCCTCCAGCTTTTCTTAAAGAGCACTGTTACCCAATTATCGAGACTCCAGAGCTTTCTCAAAAATACCCTGGACATATATTCATAATCTATGTATAATCGATGAAAATCGAGCAAAAAGAAGAATTGAAGTAGTAAAATGAAAAAAATCATATATATATATATATATATATATATACACACACGTTATTAAATGTTTCATTTTGATTTAAGAGGTATTGAAAGCAGCAGGACTGGATGTGGTGAAGTCAGAGTGGCAGTCTTTGGCCCTCAGCACGTCATGCGGCTGGGGGTAACCTTGCAGGAGTCACAGTCACTGCAGCACAAAAATAGCTCCTTCCTCAGTGGGAGTGGAGGCTTAAAGACAGAACAGTTAGGAAGAACTGTGACAGGGATTAATCCATTAATTTGCTTTCCAAAAGGGCAAAGATAAAGATAATAATACTAGAAAGCTCCTACCTCAAGTAAATAAGAAGCTGTGACAGTTTACTCGTGCTCCAGAACCCGCAGTCTTTCCCTGTTCTTCTCTGGCCTCTGATACACTCCCTCATCCATCCGTCCAATAACCCATAATACCAGCAGTTAACATTTATTGAGCACGTACTATGTTGCAGGCACTGTGCTAAGTGCTTTAGATACAGTATCCTAACTACTCATCTTGGCCGTTAGCATCACAGTGAGGAGACTGAGGTTCAGAGAAGTTACATAACTTGCCTACTCAAAAAGGAAGTACATTACCAGGCCAGGATGAAGCCTAAGCCTGACGCAAACAGCCAAGAGCTTCCTCACTGTGCTGTATAGAGTTCTTGCCCTTGAGATGCTCAAAGGGCAAATGAACAATTATCACTATGCAATGGGTGCCACATACGAGACATATGACAATGTTATAGGAGAATCTCCTCCCCCAGCATCCTCTTCATATTCCTATCAAGTTTTCTTTCCTTCTTCCTACTTAACCGGGTAACTCTGGGGTGAGGAGTGGTTATAATTACTGAATGAAGTATTACACACTGTCCAGTGATTTTAAGTACCCAATAATTTTCATTTCTTGCAAAACAATTAAATCAGAGTTTCCAGTTTTCGTTTTACACTTGGTAGGGGTAAATTAATTCTGTGACTTTAATTCTGAAGATTAGTCCTCTCTAAACCTTGGGGGTGAGGTAGCGGGTTGCCTCTTCAACTCTGACTTGTTCACCTGCTTTAACATCTAAATCAGGTCACACTTAAGGTTAGACAGCTGAATATTCTATTCAACTACTAGACGGGAGTGACACTGGCTTTGCTTTCTCTGTTTGCTCTAGAGATGGAGAAAATGGAGTCTACTGAATGAAGTGAGCTGATTTTCCCCGTGAACAGAAGGAACTTACAGAAGCACAGAAAATAAGACGGCAAAGGCACTAAGTCCCACCTCCAACCCCACCCCTCTGTCATACTCCCATGACCCAGCATCTCAACTCTGAGTCATACAAGAGTCACCATGGGGCCGGAAATAAGCTCTCTGAGGGCAAAGGCAGCTGAGGCAGAGTGTGGTTTTACCTCTCTGCCTCGCAATGATACTCAGCACAGTGTCTCAAAAAAGAGTAGGCACTCAAAAAATGTTTCTGGAATGAACAGACTGCGTTTGCTGATTTCCCTAGTGTAGACTCCAACTTCAATTTCTCTTTAAAGCTAAGAGAGCAGCTATTTAGAAAACTGAAGGCCTACACCCACCTCATTATCTATGCAGTATCTCTAGAAACCTACCCCATTCTTTAATTATTAACCTTAACTAATAACCATATTCCTTTCATTTATGAAATAATATTCAAATGCAAAAGCATTTGTTGATAAAACAAGTTTGGGAATTCTTATTTATTGACTTACAGGAAAATTACTCAAAAATCCCAGTTACTTACCAGTAACTTTTTTTCTTTGAAAATGTATCATCCTTGACAGTTTATGTAATTGTCTCATATCACTCAGAGTACTGAAAAGGATTTTGACCTCCTGGGTCTCCACAGCATTTCACCTGATCAGAGTCATGTGTCCTGGACTCAGGAACTCACTAGGAGACCTATGTCAACAAATTAAATTCTCTAGTTCTAGTTGCAACTTGAGGATCACACAAGAAAATTATTATAGATGACTCATCATCAATGGTAAAGAAAGAAAAAAACTCTATTAGTTATCAAGGATGCTACATTTTCAGAGAAACACAGCTTACTGGTAAGTAACCAGGGTCCTCTGAGGATGGATAGACTTACATCAACCAGCTGGTACAATAGGCGACTGTGTGGCTGGACCACTGGGAGCTGGAGAGGGAAGTCAAGCCAAAAATAGTAGTTGTAGGAGTACACAACCAAACTGAGACTCTTGGCAGAAGGCTGGTTCCAAGTAAAAACTGTGTTATGGAAAATCGTAGAGGGAAGAGCAGGTGAATGGCCTGCAGGGAAGGGAAAGAAATTAACACACCCTACTATGTGCCAAGCACTGTGCTAGAGACTTTACCAAAGTTAACGTCTTTAAAATTCACCACTACCCTATGAGGTAGGTATGACTCCCCATCTTACAGTGGGACATCCCAAAGGACAATAGCCATAGCCATCATGTCTCTCAACAATCTTTAACATCAGAAGGGTTAGGTCCGACTTCCATATAGTAAGGGGAAAAAAAATAGAGTCAGTTAGCCAAGTTAAAAATATTCTTGGATACTGGTTGGTCCATTTAATTCATGCCAGAGACACAATGACCTGTTGATATTGTCTAATATCCTTTAGCTTTCCCAAGTAAAAACAATAAGGAACCATCTCATATCTAAGGTGTAGGAAAGAAAGGGTCAGGAGAAAGCATCGGCTGCCACCCAACTCTAGAGAAAAGCTGAGGATGATTTCTGAAACTACTCATATTCTTCAAGATTTGAGCAGAGAAAAGATAACACACCTGAGTTTTAAATTAGCTAGCCCTTCTGGTGAAAATGATAGTGTACATAACTTAAATTTCAGACTGCTTTTATAAAGTGAAGGAAGTACTGAAGAAAAAACTGGAATAAGATAAATATCAAGTTTGGATCAAGTTAAGAGAAGTTCGATAGGAGAAGTGAGTTCACACCAGGCTTCGGAAGATGATTAGGAGAATGGCGCTTGAAGGAGACAGTGGCTCCCGGAGGAGAGAGTCAGAAATAACAATGGGAAGAAAAAGTCCTGATCAGATCTTGACACAGACGTGTATAATAAAAGCAGCTAATTAAGGGTGTTGGAGCTAAGGAATGAAGAAGAGTGGTTCATCCAAGATGGTAAATTATTTCCATTTTTGTTGTTAAATATTTATGTTGCAGAACCAAACTGGGGGAAGAACCTCTACCCTGTGAGACGAGGCTCTTGCTTCTCAGTTCATCAAAGCATCAGAGAAAGATGACGCCCTGTAAGCGTCAGCTCTGACACTTCTCTCAGAAAAAAAAAAGTCATATGTAGCATTTAACATAGAACATGTAACATTTGGAATATAATTTCAGGAATTTTAGACCCTTAAAGTTCCTCCCTGCAGCCTAGCTTCAGAAGCCTGATCCTGAATGAAAGAGATCATAAATATATAAACCTAGTTAATATATTAACTATTAAAACCCAATGCACAGAGAAAA